CTGCGCCACGGGACTGCTGCTGCAATAGAACCAGTGAGAACAAGTGGTGCCATAGTCACGCTCAGACAGTCTCAACATCTGAGAGTGAGATTATTTCTGCATTGTTGGTGAAGATCAGAGCTAGAGTAGCTTCGTTCCTAGTTGGCTGTGTTACCTGGTGGAGGTTATCTTGAAGTTATCTTGAGATGATTTCGGTCCTCGAGCAGGCCTCCTTTTTGTTACACACCTCTAGGAAGCAGCCCGTGGCAGCTGTCTAACTCCCAGGTACCTGTTTACTGCTAGGTAATAGGGGCATCAGGATGAAAGTAACATTTTTCCCATTTGTCTCCGCCTCCACCGGGGATCGAACCCGGAACCTCAGAATTTCGAATCCAAAGCGGTGTCCACTCAGCTGTCAGGCGCCTGGAGAGCGAAAATTTGTCGCAGAATCTCAGTAGTTCCCTGACCTGTGGTTGGTTATTTCCAGGTGGTGTTGGTGGTGTTGGTGGTGGTGGTGGTGGTGGCTGAGGTGTTGATGGTGGTGGTGGCTGAGGTGTTGCTGGTGGTGGTGGTGGTGGTGGCTGAGGTGTTGATGGTGGTGGTGGCTGAGGTGTTGCTGGTGGTGGTGGTGGTGGTGGCTGAGGTGTTGCTGGTGGTGGTGGTGGCTGAGTGGTTGTTGGTGGGGGTGGTGGTGCTGTTGTTGTTGGTGTGATAGTGGTGTTGGTGGTGTTAGTGTAACCAACACAAGAGACTGTGCGAATGTTTTAAACTAGTGTTATCATTAAGCTTGTGCGAATCTGATTTGTTAAGATAATTCTAAATGATGTTGATGGTTGTGGTGGAGGGTACTCGCCACACTGTAAGACACGTGTGTTAAGTCCTCATTTATGTGTTCATGTCCACACAACTGAAGCAGTTAATATTTACATTGTTTTAAATTTACTGAGTACAAGTCAGTGAGGTCAGTAAGGTGGCATTTGCCGTTTCTTTCCGGTATGTAATGTTTATTAGGATTCATTGTAATGATCACCGCTAAGGTCGGAGTTTGAATTAATTCGTGTATAATATGTTTGAATTTCGTAAACTTCGTTAATTATAAATGAACAACTATTTATGAATAAAATTATTGATGTTGGCTTGTTCCTGCGAATCATTTCCGGTTTTTTGTCACGTGACTCGCGCGGTAACCCTAATTTCCCTCTCATCACCTTTCTCACTTGATATATTCAGCGGCGTCAGAGCTTGCGTGTAGGCGGGAGAGGTGGTGGGCTCTCAGGGCTACCCTAGCGTTCAGGAGGGCAGGAGGGGCTCCCAGGGCTAGCCTAGCGTTCAGGAGGGCAGGAGGGGCTCCCAGGGCTAGCCTAGCGTTCAGGAGGGCAGGAGGGGCTCCCAGGGCTAGCCTAGCGTTCAGGAGGGCAGGAGGGGCTCCCAGGGCTAGCATAGCGTTCAGGAGGGCAGGAGGGGCTCCCAGGGCTAGCCTAGCGTTCAGGAGGGCAGGAGGGGCTCCCAGGTCTAGCCTAGCGTTCAGGAGGGCAGGAGGGGCTCCCAGGTCTAGCCTAGCGTTCAGGAGGGCAGGAGGGGCTCTCAGGGCTAGCCTAGCGTTCAGGAGGGGCTCTCAGGGCTACCCTAGCGTTCAGGAGGGCAGGAGGGGCTCCCAGGGCTACCCTAGCGTTCAGGAGGGCAGGAGGGGCTCCCAGGTCTAGCCTAGCGTTCAGGAGGGCAGGAGGGCCTCCCAGGTCTACCCTAGCGTTCAGGAGGGCATGAGGGGCTCCCAGGTCTACCCTAGCGTTCAGGAGGGCAGGAGGGCCTCCCAGGTCTAGCCTAGCGTTCAGGAGGGCAGGAGGGGCTCTCAGGTCTAGCCTAGCGTTCAGGAGGGCAGGAGGGGCTCCCAGGTCTAGCCTAGCGTTCAGGAGGGCAGGAGGGGCTCTCAGGTCTACCCTAGCGTTCAGGAGGGGCTCCCAGGTCTACCCTAGCGTTCAGGAGGGCAGGAGGGGCTCCCAGGTCTACCCTAGCGTTCAGGAGGGCAGGAGGGGCTCTCAGGTCTAGCCTAGCGTTCAGGAGGGCAGGAGGGGGCTCGTGGTGAGGGGATGATGACGGGTGGAGAGGGCGGGAAGCAGCCTGACTCACAGCATAAGACAGCCTGTAAGATCAGCGGGAGTTACTGGAATTACACGACCCGTTGTGTCCTGGGCCGTGACTCACAGTGGCCAGCCAGGCCTGTACTGGGTGCCCGCCTCCCGTGTGGTGCCTCCCGTGTGGCCCCTCCCGTGTGGTGCCTCTGTGTGGTGCCTCCCGTGTGGCGCCTCCCGTGTGGCCCCTCCCGTGTGGTGCCTCCCGTGTGGCGCCTCCCGTGTGGCCCCTCCCGTGTGGCCCCTCCCGTGTGGTGCCTCCCGTGTGGAGCCTCCCGTGTGGCCCCTCCCGTGTGGTGCCTCCCGTGTGGCCCCTCCCGTGTGGTGCCTCCCGTGTGGTGCCTCCCGTGTGGTGCCTCCCGTGTGGCCCCTCCCGAGTGGTGCCTCCCGTGTGGTGCCTCCCGTGTGGTGCCTCCCGTGTGGTGCCTCCCGTGTGGAGCCTCCCGGGTAGAGTCTCCCGTGTGGTGCCTCCCGTGTGGAGCCTCCCATGTGCGGCCTCCCGTGTGGTGCCTCCCGTGTGGTGCCTCCCGTGTGGAGCCTCCCGGGTAGAGTCTCCCGTGTGGTGCCTCCCGTGTGGAGCCTCCCATGTGCGGCCTCCCGTGTGGTGCCTCCCGTGTGGAGCCTCCCGTGTGGTGCCTCCCGTGTGGGGCCTCCCGTGTGGTGCCTCCCGTGTGGCCCCTCCCGTGTGGTGCCTCCCGTGTTGTGTCTTCCGTGTGGTGCCTCCCGTGTGGGGCCTCCCGTGTGGGGCCTCCCGTGTGGAGCCTCCCGTGTGGTGCCTCCCGTGTGGCCCCTCCCGTGTGGCCCCTCCCGTGTGGTGCCTCCCGTGTGGCCCCTCCCGTGTGGCCCCTCCCGTGTGGTGCCTCCCGTGTGGAGCCTCCCGTGTGGGGCCTCCCGTGTGGCCCCTCCCGTGTGGAGCCTCCCGTGTGGCCCCTCCCGTGTGGCCCCTCCCGTGTGGTGCCCACAATACAATTAAAACAACATGATGATAAAGGCGACTGCAGAAGACTTATAGTGACCCATACGAAGACGCTCATATTTACACCCCACTAAATCATTCATATATATGTCTAACCTTCGCTTGAAACAATCCAGCAATCCCACGTCTATTGTATTAACTGGTAATTTGTCCCATGTATCAACAAGCCTGTTTCCAAAACCAGTATTTATCCAGGTCTCCTGTATCTAAACTTATCCACTGTTTCGTGATCCATTTCATATATATATATATATATATATATATATATATATATATATATATATATATATATATATATATATATATATATATATATATATATACATATATATATATATATATATAATGTATATATATATATATATATATATATAATGTATATATATATATATATATATATATATATATATATATATATATATAATGTGTGTGTGTGTGTGTGTATATCACGAAAATAAACACGTGATTAAAAATGTGACAATGTCAGACCACGGAGGAAAAATGAAACAGGAATTTCCTTAAGTACTTTCGTATATTAATACATCTTCAGAAGGAGTGAAGTCTGACACTGTCATATATATATATATATATATATATATATATATATATATATATATATATATATATATATATATATATATATATATATATATATATATATATATAATCATACCCCTTCATCCCTTTGTATAACTTAAGTCATGTCATCCCTTATTCTTCGACTTTCTAAAGCATTTAAAGAAAACTTTCTTAATTTTTCTTCATACGGAGTGTTTCTAATTCCTGGGAATAAGTTTTGTCGTCGTTCTCCGTACACGTTCATGTGGATGTGTGCTAATACCCTCGTACCCACACCATTATTTAACTGCCTAGTTTAAGTGCGGCCCGACACGAGCAACAGGCGGGTGTGATGAGGAGGGAGTGGGCGGTAACAGGAGTGGAGGGAGTGGGCAGTAACAGGAGTGGAGGGAGTGGGCAGTAACAGGAGTGGAGGGAGTGGGCAGTAACAGGAGTGGAGGGAGTGGGCAGTAACAGGAGTGGAGGGAGTGGGCAGTAACAGGAGGAGAGGAGGCGTAAGACTAGTCATAGGCAATAACAGGAAGAACAGTGGCTGGAGTGGGGAGGGGGAGGGCTCTAATCTGGAGATGAATGGAACAGGAAGTGGGAAGGGAGGAGCCCCACATTTATCGGAGAGTAAGAACGTCGGAGAGAAGGAACGTTGGTGTTGTTGGAAAGATGAATAGGAGGGAGGAGGAGGAGGAGGCAGGAGAATAGAGAGAAAAGGAATACTTGAGACAATTAGTAAGATAGAGAGAGAGAGAGAGAGAGACACACACACACACCATGATTGGGGAACCACTAACAATAAACTCACATGGAGTGTGGTACCTGCTTGATACCTGGTTGATGGGGTTCTGGGAGTTGTTCTACTCTCCCAAGCACGGCTCGAGGCCAGGCTTGACTTGTGAGAGCTTGGTCCACCAGGCTGTATTGAGATATACAGATGAACAAATATTTAGTATTGAGACAAATATTTCGTGAAACTTGTGGTAGAGGTGAGAGATAGAAGTATGATGGTCTGAAATAAGTATACACTTCTCAAATGTGCTTGCAGTTGAGATGGGTGTACTCAACTGCAAAGCACATTTAAGTACGCACACAAGTGCACGTGCGCGCTCACACAAGCGCACGTACGCAAGCGCACGTACGCAAGCGCACGTACGCAAGCGCACGCACACAAGTGCACGCACACACTAGGATGCACACACCGCCAGTAAAGGCAGCTACGGATGTACGCTTGGACGGATACACGCGCAAGAAACGTGACGATATTTTTAACATTTTCTTCTCAATTTAACATATGCGTCATGTTAGTTCCGGCAGCCGTTAATTACCTTTTATCTTTTCCTTTACAGGTAAGGCGGAGCGGCGGCGGTCTTGTTACAGAGCCCCGGGCACCAGGTACAGTTGATGTATTGTTGTAATTGTTGCTGTAATGTTCCGGATGGTGGGAGTGTTCCGTTTTAGTGCTCCTTGTCTTCTTCCCCTCTCCTCCTCCTCCTCTGTCTCCTCCTTCATCTTCTCCTTCACCTCCTACTGTTGCAGGTGAAGGAGGATCAGATAAATGTGGTGAGTGAAGACTATTTGCTCAGAGGACAGGATTTTGGCTCCAGAGTTCTGTCCCCTCCGGTTTGACTGCTATTAGAAAGTGAAGCCGAGATGGTAAAGCTAACTCCAAGTTTAGATGAATATTGTAAATAAACAGCTCCACTCGTCTCGTTCTTACGAAGCTAAAGACATGTTTTTATTGTTAATGTGATTAGTAATTAGTGCCAGGCGTTAGAGAAGGGTTCCCTGGAGGCCACGTGATGGCTGGCCACGTGCTCGGTGGTCACGTGCTTGGTGGTCACGTGATGGGTGGCCACTTGATGGGCGGTCACGTGCTTGCTGGTCACGTGCTCGGTCACCACAACCTGGCTAATGAGACACGTCCTCCAGAAACCTGTCTGGTTTCCACCTGAAGATTTCCACTCAGGTTCCGGAAATATTTGATGTGTTTCCTGGTAGAAGGTCGAGGACCTCCGACGATGAACACACAGTCTTCTCTCATTATAATAGTTCACGCCTTCTTCCTCTTGTTCGATAATCTCAATTCGAAAACAGTCTTTAATTCTCAATCGCCATTCCATATGGCGATGAATATGGAATGATCCAATCCACCACTCTTGTTATTCTGCACCAGTAGTTGTGTAGCTGTGTTGTTCACTACTTGTAATGGTCTCTTCGTGACCTTTACGCATTTTGTGTTCTTAATGTGGTCTAGTGTTAACAGTATGGTCTTGGGAATCACTTACCCCACTTGCTTGCTGACCTCCAAGCTCTATTGTGTGTGTTGAATTATTATGACTCCTTTCTCCTGTCCTTTTTCCATCTCCCCTTCCTCTCCTTCTCTTCCATTTGCCCTCTCCTTCTCTCTCCCTTTACCTCCACATCCTTTCGATTTGTCGTTCCCCCCCCCCCCCTTCACCTCGTAGTTTGTTGTGGACACTTGCCTGCTTATCACGCTTCATATCTTTGTCTGTACCATTAGTAGTGTGATGCTTCTTGTTAAAAACTTTATCCTTACGCAACTAACTGCTTAAAGTTTTCTTGTGTGTGTGTTAGTTTAAAAAAATTATTTATATATATATTATATATATATATATATATATATATATATATATATATATATATATATATATATAATATAATATGCTAACAAGCATGAAAGGTCCCCAAGCCAATATGCAACTGAATATATACATTTATACATATATACATAGCTCATGCATTTATTATCAACGTCATCATCACGTGCTGGGATACTTTCATCGATGAACATGACCAGATTATTTAAAGTGAAGGTGATCATGTAGGTTGTGGTGGGCTGTGCAGCGTATAGGCTAATGAGGCCAGCTCCGTGCCTTAATCCAGTCGTGCTGAGCTGGAACCCGCTCCAGATGGACACTGACTTAGTCATGTTGTTGTTCTGGAACTTGACTCAGGTTGACATTTAACAAGTCCTGTTTATGTTCTGGAACTGTTGTACATGTTAATGTTGTCATGTTTTGTTCTGGAACTAGTTCCAGGTCAGCTGGTCCAGGGTGTATACTGCTGGAATCAGCTTGAGGCTTATGTAATTGTGCTCTTCTTGTGTTTTGGACTGTTTCATACCCATAATGCCATTGGTTCCTAATTTGACGTTACCTTACCTTGCAATGGTTTCAGGGCTCAACGTCCCCGCGGCCCGGTCCTCGACCAGGCCTGCTGGTTGCTGGACTGGTCAACCAGGCTGTTAGACGCGGCTGCGGGCAGCCTGACGTATGAGTCACAGTCTGGTTGATTAGGTGTCCTTTGGAGGTGTTTATCCAGTTCTCTCTTGAACACTGTGAGGGGTCGGCCAGTTATGCCCCTTATGTGTAGTGGAAGCGTGTTGAACAGTCTCGGGCCTCTGATGTTGATAGAGTTCTCTCTCAGAGCACCTATTGCATCTCTGCTCTTCAACGGGGGTATTCTGCACATCCTGCCACGCCGTCTGGTCTCATGTGGTGTTATTTCTGTGTGCGGGTTTGGAACCAGCCGCTCTACTATTTTCCACTTGTAAATTATTATATCAGTATCGCTCTCTTTGGACACCGATCACGTCCATTATTTTTCTCTTGAGTCCTAGCTGTGGATAGGACTCACGTCCACTTCAAAAATATTTGTATAAAATTCATTTTTTATCCGATCGACCTCGGGATAGTTTCAAAATAAACGCCTTTAGAATGCACATAATTTGATACCAAAATGAAAGATGTAACACGAAACTTGATGTCAGAACACTTGAAAGATTATAAACACGTTTTTGGGTCTAAATTTTAAAATGTGTTAAAATTCTATTTATTGTGTTATTATTATGGGACTAGTTTTAAAATGTGCGCCTTTATATTGCGAACAATTTGATACCAAAACGAGCGATGTAACACGAAAATTGATGTTATCAAACTGAACGTGTATACACATTAGGTTGTGGCGTGCAAATTGGAGCTCGTTCACGGGTAACTTTAGGCTTTGCTGCGGGAAGTCTCGCCAGGCTTTTGGACATTGTATGCATATACATCTGCAGGGAATTTAATTGCGAAAACAATGATACCTAAACGAACGACGTAATACGAGAATTAAGGTGAGAAAACTGAAACGAGTATACACATTTAGGCGTCGCCGCACGCTCGCCGCACGCTCGCCCCCACTATTAGCCCCATGATGTCAAAGTCTGCGGCGCTCACGTGGCGCGCGCGATAGTGATATATCTCACCCGCCTGCACTCAAGAGAATACAGATTTGGGCATTTTAGTCCCAATAGTTTAGATGTTTTACTGAGTGGATTCTAGCAGTAAAGGCTCTCCGCACGCTCTCCAGGTCAACAATTTCTCCAGCCTTGCAAGGGCTGCCATTGTGCAGCATTGTGCACTCTAGAGAGCACTAGCGTCTTGAAGAGTATCATCATCGGTATAGCATCTCCAGTTTGAAAAGTTCTCGTTTTCCAACCTGTCATTTTTCTTGCAGTTGTGACGTAACCATCCATGTTTCCATTTTGCTTTTTTTTCAACGGTATTTTTGCTCCGTCTGTCATTTTCATTTCTTCTAGAGCTTCCCCTATTCGCCTGTCCTACCTTACGCCCATTCTTCCATCCGCGTATTCTACCATCCACCCATCCTACTGGACGGATGGTAGGATACGCCAGTATCCAATGTATCCACAGCCCTTATAGGTAATGGTTCTATAGGTTCTCATATTCACTGCGATTTATATAGCGAGATATTGCTTTTGATTAAATAAAATACGTAAAGTGTTACGTATGCAAATACGTAAAGGATGCAAATACGTAAAGTGTATCACTGATGACGTTATGGGAGTCTTTGGGTCCTGCCGCCAAGCTCTCCGGTGGGTTCTACGAAGTGAGGGACTACGTTGGTGTCCTTGGGTCACTACCTCTCCCCTGGAGGTCACTACCTCTCCCCTGGAGGTCACTACCCCTGCCCTGGAGGTCACTACCTCTTCCCTGGAGGTCACTACCTCTACCTCTGCCCTGGAGGCGTGCTCTTCCCGCTGGCAAGTCCAGTCGAGAGAGTATAAGCCTCACCCCGAAGACCTGGAGAAGAGGGAATGTTTGCGCCACCAATGAACGCTTCTTTTGCCACAAGCAAGCCGCCTCCTTGCTTTTTAGCCCTCGTCCTTCGTGTCTTCCTGTTTGTTGTCTTGGTCTTCTTCCCTAATCGTCAGCTGCCCCGTCGTCTCTCCTGTCAACCGTGTCCCCGTCGTCTCTCCTGTCAACCGTGCCCCGTCGTCTCTCCTGTCAACCGTGTCCCCGTCGTCTCTCCTGTCAACCGTGTCCCCGTCGTCTCTCCTGTCAACCGTGTCCCCGTCGTCTCTCCTGTCAACCGTGTCCCCGTCGTCTCTCCTGTCAACCGTGTCCCCGTCGTCTCTCCTGTCAACCGTGCCCCGTCGTCTCTCCTGTCAACCGTGTCCCCTGTCGTCTCTCCTGTCAACCGTGCCCCGTCGTCTCTCCTGTCAACCGTGCCCCGTCGTCTCTCCTGTCAACCGTGCCCCGTCGTCTCTCCTGTCAACCGTGCCCCGTCGTCTCTCCTGTCAACCGTACTCCGTCTCTCCTGTCTGATGTGCGCTATCGCTTGAATTCTTGCCCTTATCTGTGGTCTCTCCACGTCATCTTTGTAATTGGAACTTAAGACTCATTACCATCTTAACGGTGGACATGAGGTTAGGTAGGAGGGTGGGGGGGGGGGGGTGGAGTCGGACAGATGCGTGGCTGACGTGTCCAGCATACATGTATGCATGCACATGTGTATCCATGTATAGAGTTACTGGGCCACAGTGCGTGGCAAAGGTCAGCGTTGATGACACTCCCTGAGGAGCGGGTTGGTCTGGCTCCCTGAGTGGCTGGGACGGGTGTATTGTGTCCTCTCACGCCGCCCGTGGTGGGCGGGGAGGGCGTTGGTGGGGGTGTTGTTGTTATGGTGGAGGGGGGGGTGAGTGGATCTGTTTGTGGTCTATATACATATGTACTTACCCAGTTACAGGTAAGTCCACTACGGGCTTACCATAGCCCGTGCTACTTGCCCCGCTCCTGTGCCAGGTTAGGTAAGTCCACTACGGGCTCACCATAGCCCGTGCTACTTGGAAATTTTTGTTCCCAGTAGCGAATCTTAAACAACAACAACCACCCAGTTACGGCTCGCTCCTGGGCCAGGCAAGTCCACTACGGGGCTCACCATAGCCCGTGCTACATGGACATTTCGTTCTGAGTAGCTAAATCTAAAACAACAATCTAATGCTACTCACTAAGCTGAACGGGGTTCAGCTTCGGCTCTTTGGTCCCGCCTCTCAACTGTCTATCAACTATGTGTGTGTGTAATTACCC